TCATTGTTTTCTTCGCAAATTTTGAATTTGAACGAGAATTTGAAGAGAAATGCAAGCGCGCTCGGCGGCAACAGCTTTCCAATTTGGGACAGTTCGACAGTGCACAGTTCGAATTAGAACAGTTCGATTTTGTCCTTGTTCTGTTTTGATACTTGTTCGAGAAACACACTGTTCTGATTTGAATCAGTTCGACTTTAGGTCTGTTCGATTTTGAAAACGTTCGAATTCGTCATACCCCCAGAATAGCAACAAGAATTTTATCGCGCTCTAGGATAGATCAAAACTGCCGCATTCTCTATAATAGAAGCCCACTCAACTTTGAGCTCAATTATCTCGGTTCCTGTAAAATATATCAAAATTTGGTCAACTGATAGAATGTTTATCGCAATATCACCAATATTTCATTAGTTGATCAAATTTTGTTACCACTTACACAAATCGAGATAATTGAACTCAAAGTTGACGGCTTGAGAGGCATTCGATTAGAGAAATACGGTATACTTGGGTAGGTCAAATAAATACAACTTGTTAATGGTCCCTCAAGAAATGTTCAACAAATACAATGCTTTTATCATTATTTGATTATCAGTTAACAGTTGTTTGATATCTTTCCTAAAAAATGAAATAGCTAAGATCAAAGTTTAACAAAGCGGCTCCCTTTAATAGAGAGGAGCCTGGGAAGATGCCTACTACTTTGATCCAATTTATCTCTGTTCCTGTTGGTGATATCAAAAATTTATCAGCTAACAAAATAATTTTATTTTTATGCTAAACATTTTGTTAGTTGACAACTTTTTGATATCTCTAACAGGAAGCTAGATAAATTAGATCAAAGTAGGCACACCATTGCTTTGACCCGGATTATATCGAACCCAAGGTTACACAAAATTTTTAACTAATCAATTGTGAAATTCCCCACATTTCCCTAGTTGAATAACTGATCTAGGAACTCAGCTACATTAACTTGAACATCCTGTGGATATTCCAGGAATGGGGAGGAGGCTCAATCCGAATCGTCGCCTCTGTCACCGAAGACATCACCGAAATCGAGCGAAACGCCACCCATCAAATCTCAACATTCCGGGAAGAAGTCAAATTGGACGTCGAGAAACAAGGAGACACCTTCAAGCCAGGACTCACTTATAACGTCGTAGTAGCATTGAAACAAATGGATGATACTCCTGTCAAGGCAACACTTCCCAAAAGGGTTCAGGTAAGAGGATAATTGGGATCTTTCTTATCTTCCTTTCAAGCAAAGAACTGGAAATGCGCACCAGTTAGCTGGTTTTCTAATAAAACCCGACTTGTGAAAATACATTATATGATTTAGGTCTCCACATTCTACAACTATCCATACAATCATGACACTTCGAGTCTTCAAGAAGAAAAAGAGACCAAGATTGTGGAAGTCGATGCTCATGGAACAAGTGTGCTCACTCTTCAACCTCCAATCAATTGCACGTCGGCTAGAATCGAAGCACATTATGATATAGGAGGAAAGGATAACTTCACGGCTACACCAATCTATGCATCTCTTTATGTTGAAGCTGCTGTCAGCCCTACGAAGAGCTTCTTGCAGTTGTTGGCTGATAATGAGGGAGCTGTGGATGTTGGAAAGAGCTTGAGCTTCTCGTTGAAGGCAACACAACCATTATCGACCATTACTTATCAGGTCGGTGTCGGAATTTTTCTGTATATCGTTATCCTTTGAAAATTGTCCGTCCGAGACCCTTGTGAAGTTCATGCTGAGCCTTTCAAGACTACCGTAAGCTAACGGAATAACCTTTAAATTGTCAACTTATCTCATTTCCTGTAAAAGATACCAAAAAGTGATCAACTGACAAAATGTTTAGTATAATATCAGCTACATTTTATCAGTTAAAAGCTTTTCGATTTCTTTTTCAGGATATGAGATATATGGGCTTGAAGTTAAACGTAGACACGAACAACAGACTCGTCGAAAGTTAGCAAGCTCTAAACCATTTTATAAAAGTACAATCCGTATTTTAAACTAAAAAATGACACAAATTACACCCCAATTTTGTAGGTCATGTCCCGATCCAACATTGTGGTCTCCCAACAAATGGCAGTGAATGCAGAGCATGCTACAATCAGCTTCCAAGCGACGGCTAATGTAAGTCAGCTATCTTGTTTGAAAAATACTTGAAATAATTGGATTATAATTAATCAATCTCCAAGTTTTCTCCTTTAAAATAAACTAACAATCATTAAAAATGGACTATTTTGAGCTGAGATACAGTCAAAGGGGAGAGACGCAGGCCCTCTCGTTTCTCTGCGCTCTCGCCAAACTTCAGAGGCGCATAACTCGCTTATAAATTTAGTTAGAAAGTTGAGTTTTGGTTAGTTTTGTAGGAAATTTCAAGGGGATTAGAATGATGTAGAATTGATAAAACAATTTTTTGAAAATCCTATCTTCTTGCCTAGTTAGCTATGTTCTCGAGAAAGATGCCATGAAGTGGTCAACTAGTGAAATGTGCGAAATTTCATTTGCTATAACTCTAAAACAGTTGTCTTGCCGAATTTTCCAATTTTCCTCTTTTAAACCAAACTAAAGATCACTTAAAACAGACCATTTTGAGCTGAGATACAGTCAAAGGGGGAGAGACGCAGGCACTCGCGTTCTCGCCAACTTCAAAAACGCGTAACTCGCTTCGAAATTTAGCTAAAAAACAAAAAATGATTTTTGGCTAGTTTTGTAGGAAATTTCAAGGGGATCAGAATGATATAAAAGTTAATATAAAAGCTATCAAAATGAACTAATTTATCTTAGTTCCTGTAAGAGATATCAAAAAGTTGTCAACTAACAAAATGTTTGCCAAATTATGAGGATCATTTCGTTAGTTGACAACTTTTTGATATCTCTCACAGGAATCGAGATAAATCGGATTGAAATTACCAATATCTCATTTTAGATGGCTCCAAAATCGCGTCTCATCGTCTACGCAATCATCGAAAACTCTCAAGAAGTCCTTGTCGATGCATTGGACTTCAAAGTCGAGGGAATCTTCCAGAACCAAGTGTCTTTGTCCATAGACAAGCAAGCTGTCGAGCCAGGACAAAATGTGAAATTCAAAGTGACATCTGATAAGAACTCATTTGTTGGGCTACTCGTAGTAGATCAAAGTGTGCTTCTATTGAAGACAGGAAATGATATAACGAGAGAAAAGGTGGAGGCGGATTTGGAGAACTATGATTCCAACAACGTTGGATTCGGAGGTGGCAGACCTTGGGAAGCAATTGACAGAAAGAAAAGATCGATTTGGAGACCGTGGTGGGGTATTGGAGGGTCTGATGCCCAAAGTATCTTCACTGTGAGTGCTCCATTGCTTCTTAAGAAGACGATTGTCCCAATATCCTAATCTATTTAGAACGCTGGACTCGTCGTTCTGACTGATGCTCTTCTATACCGTGAGCCGGCACGTGAGTTCTTCCCTGGTAAGTTTATGAGACGAGGAAAAGGTTCGTGTCGTTTCTAGAAATGGAAAGAAGAGTATTTCTACCTGGTGCTCCTTCAGTTATGATGATGGATAGCAATCCAGTGATGGCTGAAGCTGCATTTGCACCAGCGCCAATGGGTGGATCAGCACCACCACCGCCGACCGTCCGGAAGTTCTTCCCACACACTTGGATTTGGTCGGATTTAAACTCAACTAGGTTGGTCATTCTTTTTAGTTTAGCACGTTTGAAACGGACCATTCTGAGCCGAGTTATGACTCAAAATGCAATTTCGTTCTAGCGAACTAGCCCAGCCAATCCTAGAAATCGTTATAACTCGGTTAGTTTTCAAGCTATTCGAATGATTTTAGGCTTATTTTGAAGCCCATCTCCTCCTCTAACTACGGCGAGAGGTGGTGGAAGGAATGGCTTCAAACCTTCCGAAATAAATCCTAATTCCAGCGGAGAAGTAGAAATGGAAGTCCAAGCACCAGACACCATTACATCTTGGGTCGCCTCAACATTCGCAATCAATGAGGAGAATGGATTAGGAGTCTCGCCAACGTCTTCAAAGCTTCGAGTATTCCGACCATTCTTCATTCAATTAAATCTACCGTATGCCGTTCGACGCGGAGAGAAGTTCGCTCTTTTGGTCCTGGTTTTCAATTATATGGAGAAGGAACAGGATGTGAGTTTTTAGATAGATAGAGAGCTACAAAAACTACAAAGTAGAGAAACTGAGAGTAGTTTGTCACTACAAACACATAAAAATCCTAATAATCTGGTTAGATTTGATCAAAGTCAATGTCCTCTCCCATCTCTCCCAAATCAAGACAATGAATCGGGATAGAGCTCATAATTTCGAAGCGCTTCAAAAATTTTCAGTTTTTCTGAAATTTTCAGAGGATACTAAACAAAACTTGAGCTTCAATTTTGTAGTAGACAACTTTTCTCAAATATCAAGCCCAGGGGAATTATGCCATGTGTAAGGGCGGTGGCGCCTCATGCCGACTTTAGAATCAGGAGGTGCACCTGCTTCCACGTGGCATATTTCATCAGGACTTGATTTACAGAAAAAGTCGTTAACTACAAAAATGAAGCGCATACCTTGTTTAGTATATTCTGAAGATTTCAGAGAAATCTGAAAATTTTGAAGTGGTTTTGTAGATTATCGCAGAAAATACCGTATTTCCTCTAATAAAAGCCTATCTAAACCATCAACTTTGAGCTCACTTATCTCGGTTCCTGTGAAAGAGATCAAAATTTTATCAAATATTAAAATATTGGTGATATTGTGATAAGTATTTTATCAGTGGTCAAAATTTTGATATCTTTCACAGGTATCGAGATAATTGAACTCAAAGTTAACAGTTCGGTAGGGCTCCCAAAATAGGTCTTTTTGGTGTTACTCTTGTACGGAAAGTGCTGGAATCAAATTTGTCCCCTGGGTTTGTTTCACATCCTGAATCGAATGGAGTTTACAAAATTTGGATATCTCTTCCCGTTCTTCCGGAACCCCCAAAATAGAGAGGGTCCTAAAGATATTGACCGCACTTTATTAGAGGAAATACAATGAATCAGCTCTGTGTGAAACAGATTGGCCCAAATTTACACCGCTAGTTGAGAAACCAAACATACATAATTCTAGGTCACCGTCACTCTAAAATACGACCAAGACTCGGGATACGACCTGCTCAAAAAGGACGGAACCACCGTGAAACGCGACGAAGTTGGCCAACAAAACGTACGAGTAGTTTCTGTAGCCGGTGGAGGAACCTCTAAAGCAGTCTACTTCCCAATAGTTCCATCATCCATCGGAGAGATTCCAGTTCACATCAGTGCGATAGCATCACAAGGAGGAGACGCAGTTGAGATGAATCTACGAGTGGATCCTCAAGGATATCGAGTCGATCGGAATATTCCATTCGTGATCGATATGAACAATAACTCTTCGGATTTCTCAAAAACTATTGAATTGATTTGGCCAAATGACGTTGTCGATGGATCACAAAAAGCGAGAATCGATGTGATTGGAGATATGATGGGTCCAGTACTCAACAATGCACACAAGCTGGTACAGATGCCTTATGGATGTGGAGAACAGAATATGTTGAACTTAGTGCCCAATATTTTGGTTGTCAAGTATCGAGGGCTACCAATAGGAATGAGACACAGTTGGAAGCGAAGGCTATCAAGTTTATCGAGCAGGGAATTCAAAGGGAATTGACTTATAAGTAAGGATTTGAGATATTAAGCTTTGGTCCGGAGGCTTGGGATATGGTAACAAAGTGTGACTCCCTTCAAACTCCATATTTTCAGATGAACTAAATACTAAATTTACAACGAGCTAGCTGGTGCGCCTTCGGCGCGTTTCAATCTAGTTTCTTAACTGGTTCGTCGCTTCGCTCTCACTCGCGCACTCGGCTCGCGTTAATCTATACCAGCCCTCCACCCTTCACTGTGGTGTAACCAAGGAACGTCTCCAGAAAACTTCAAAATCAAAATTTTGAAAAACGAGAAGTTCAGGCATCTAATTAGACACATTTCTGATCTATCTGTCTGGGTTTCAGTTCGATAGGTTAACTTTGAATGGGTCTAACAGCGCGCGACATTCTAACCAACAAAATGATTTTTTTTCAAGATTCTCAAAAGTCCATAGACTGACAGGGGGACCAATAGAAGCGTGTAGCGATTTATCTATGAGGAATATTTGAATAATTTTTGAATTAGGGTCCTTCCTGTAGAAGCTGTGAGTTCTCCGGAACAACTTCTAACGAAAAACCACGCACCAACCAAAATGTATGGAAAATTTTTTAAACTTCCCAAGCTCCTAAATTCAACAAGCTTTGCTATTTCAAACTAGCGGTTTCGAAGCGAGCTAGCTACAAATCCTAACTCATTCCAGACGCGTCGACAACTCATTCTCCGCATTCGGTGACAGCGACAAAGCTGGCTCCACCTGGCTCACCGCATTCGTCGTCCGATCCTTCCACCACGCGAAACAATACGCATTCGTAGACCCCAACGTCATCTCCAGAGCAGTTGCCTTCTTGAATTCCCAACAAATGGAATCAGGAGCATTCGCTGAGAGAGGAGAAGTCCATCATAAGGATATGCAGGGTGGAGCACAGGATGGAGGAGTTGCTCTCACTGCATTCGTGCTCATTTCGATTCTGGAAAACGGAATGGAGAATGGAAAAGCGGTTGCGTATTTAGAGAAACATTTAGATGAGATTTCTGGAAATGCGTATACTATGAGTGTTGTTGCCTACGCACTACAGTTGGCTAAGAGCAAACAGGCTGGAAAGGCGTTCGAGATGTTAAAGAAGCATAAGGTGGTTGAGAAGAGTGGAGATGTCAAGTTTGCAAGTGCTTCTAAGAAGACGGAGAAACCAAAGGAAGCGAGAGCTTACTTGTTCCAGGTATGTTCTTTAACCGATTTTCAAGGATTCGTAACTTCCTTGTAAATCAAGATATCGAATTCAACTAAATTGAAAAAAATAGAACTTTTAAAAAGCGGCAATTTGATGCAAAACACAAAAACTCGTAAAATTTTCTATAGTTTCGAAAAATCTGGTTTAAAGGTGGGGGGACATAAAAAAAAATTTCTCGAAATCCCGTTTACATACGCTCCTCGAGGAGTTGAACTTGTCGAGGCGAGGATTGAGGGTGCGGCGCCGCTACCGACTGAGCTACGCGGGTAAAGAGAAAGCGCCCGCTCCATTGCATACATCAAGGCGAGGACGACAGCTGTACGCAGAGTGACATTAAGCGTTGTACACTGTTACGGTAGAATGCATACTCTGGCCCCAAAAATCCCCCGTAAAATCTCCTGTCCCCCCACCTTTAAAAGTAAGATCGTTGTTTAAGGAGGTGTACAAGCCGAAGCCAAAATTTTGGCAAATAGTTCGGAGGGTACAATAATTCGGGGGGGTACAAGGGGTTACAACGTGATTTAGGGGTACAAAACCAACAATTCGGGGGGGGGGGGG